ATCATTGGATTTAGATTCCAGCAAAATTAAAATATAAGATTAAAACATTAGCGTAGAAAACTTATATGTCCCAACAAATCCCAAGAGTATGTCTGAAAGGAGCCAAATTTTGAGAAACACTGTCCTAAATAACACACACACACACAGAGAAGTTGGAAATATAAGACTCCCTTACTGTGAAGTTTGTCTCTAGAATTGCAAGATTGTTAATTTCATTCTGTGGTAACTAATGGTAATGGTTAATTTCTTTTCTAATAAAGATGTACATAGAGCTAAAAAAAAAGTGGGAAGAAGGTTAAGTCTCTATATGTGCAACTAGAACACAAATCTGAGCTGCACTGATGCTCTGATAAAGCAACAGAGAGGAAAGTACAGAGTCATTTCAAAAACAACCCATGGAGTGAGACACGTGTGCAACCACCAGTCCAGGTCAAGAAGTAGAATGTGTTCGGGTGTGGTGACACACACCTGTAATCCCAGCAGCCCCGGAGGCTGAGACAGGAGGGTCTCCAGTTCAAAGCCAGCCTCAGCAACAGCGAGGCATAAGCAACTCAGGGAGAGCCCATCTCTAAATAAAATACCAAAAAAAGGGCTGGGGATATGGCTCAGTGGTTGTGTGTCCCTAAATTGAATCCCCAGTAGTTCCCTCTGCAAAAAAAGTAGAATGTGACCAGCACACAGGAGCCCTGCACTCAACCTCCCCCATCACTGCTTCTGCCTGACTCCAGGTGCTGGCTGTGTTCTCCTTCTTGACCTGCACTGGTGGTTGCTCACGTGTCTTCATTTTATGGTAATTCACTGCACTGTCCTTTTTGTTACAAAGCCCTTCAATAAAAGAGTTTAAAAACACTTTCATAGTACTGGTAAATACTTTCCTATTACTGATAAAGGTTAGAATGAAGATGACATATGGAAATAACAAAGTATATGTCAGGGGATCCTGTGCAGGGACAGATACAATAATTGCTAAACCATAAGTCTAAAGATTTCAGAAGTGAAAAGACCTTGGAAATGGCCAAATCCAGCCCTGCTGAGTTCCTCATGGGGGTGGGTGGCTGTGCAGGTACTGCTGTAGTAGGAAAGGCAGGGCCAGACATGTGTGTCGTAGCAAAACTCCTCAGGAGAGTCTGTTGCATCCAGATTATATACAACTGAGCCATCCTGTGAAGTGAAGTGGCTTCAGAGAACAATGTCCCAGAAATAGCTCAAGAGCCACATCTTCAGGGCCCTGGTCTTCTACTAATCTGAAGCCCGAAGCCTCCACCTAAAACTCTTGAGCTCTTGCCACTCTAGTAGAGAAGTATCAGTAAGGCCCACAACCTCACTTAGTAAGCTCATCAGACATGTTCTTCTGTCATCACAACTTTTTTACTCTAGAAATAACACTGGTTTTTCCAACACGTTTTAGATTTAATACTTCTAATACAACAATAAACATTTGTTATTTATTAACAATGGTAAATCATAGATGTTAGACTATTAACGGTACTAAAGCTACTTATTCATCTTAAAGATGAGGAAACTGATATCAGACATGTTAGTAAGTAGTCGAGATTTCTAGAATTCTATTATCCTTTTTCAGGTTAATAAATCAGACTGAACTTCCCCATGTCTCTCTGATAAGATGAACTAATTTACATAATGAGGTAGTACAGGGGGGGAAAAAGGATAGGTTAAAAGGAGACCAACAGGGAAGGAAAGTGGGATTGTAACTTTAAATCTAAAACTCCATTAATGCCCTAGGCTTCACCCCCAGAAGATCAAATATGTTAGAGTACCATAAATCCAGCTAATTAGTAGCTTTTTTTGGTTTAAAGAATGTATTATTAGACTGATTAAAAGAAGCAGAGAGAGAGAGAGAGAGAGAGAGAGAGAGAGAGAGAGAGATTGTTAAAGACCCATGATGTAGGCACAGTCTAAGTGCTATATAGTAACTAGTAACATTAACCAGAAGACTTTACGAAGAACCAGACCACCATGACCTACTCTGTGCAGCACAATCAAAGGAATTGAGCTCATCAGGCTGATGCCATCCCCTTATGATTGTCATGGTCACCATTTGCAAGGTTTCCTTCAAAAGAAGAAGCCTGAGACCCCCAAAACATGTCTCCCTCTTCAGTATCCACACTACTCCTCCCTTTGAGTCTGTATCCTGTGCTATTGTTTGCTTTTCTGAATGAACCTGGCTTTACTCAACAAGTCTCCACTTGTGTCTCTTTTGATGCAGCTTAAAATTTATTTCCATGGTGTAAGTCAAAAATCTGCCAGGCCGAGTTGAAGACCTTTCTCCCTTCAAGAGACCTCCTCGGGCATCATCCACTGACACAGAATATCATTAGTTTTTGGCTTGAGTTCTTTCACATATAATTCAGTTTATTGCAATTTTTGTAAAATTTTTCTGCTTAAAATAATTGTTACCAAACAACAGTGTGATGCCAACTGAACATAAGACAATAAAACAATCTTCACTGCATATTCAAATATAACAAGTCAAGATCCCAAAACAATTCTAAGATGAAAAAAAAAGATGGAGGTATCATAATATCAGAATTCAAATTATATTACAGAGCTATAGCAACAAAATTGCATGATACTGACATAAAAACAGACACATAAGCCAATGGAACAGAATAGAAGACACAGAGACAAACCCACATAGACATAGTCATTCAATCTTTGACAAAGGTACCAAAAATATACATGGAAGAAAAGACAGTCTTTTAAATAAATGGTACTAGGAAGACTGATTATCCATATGCAAAAAAATGAAACTAGACCTTTACCTCCTACCCTGAACAAAAAATTAACTTAAATGGATCAAAGACCTTAGACCAGAAACTATGCAACTCCTAGAAGAAAATGTATACACTTCAGTGTATAGATTTCTTTAAAAGGTCCAATAAATGTTAGAGTACCATAAATCCAGTTAATTAATAGCTTTTTTGGTTTACAGGATGTATTTTTAAAGAAATCTATACATTCTAGCATATAGGCACAGGCAACAGCTTTCTCAATAGCACCCCTAAAGCTCAGGACATAATGCTCAGAACATAATAAATGGGATGACATCAATTTAAAAAGCTTCTGCACAGCAAAGGTAGCAATTAAGAATGTGAAAAAAAGAACCTATAAAATGAGAGAAAATCTTTTCTAGCTACTCTTCTGGCAGAAGAGTAATATCCAAAATACATAAAGAAGTGACCAAAAAAAATACCTCACACCGGAAAAACAAATAACCTAATTAATAAATGAGCAAATGAATTAAACACACACTAGCCAAAAGAAAAATATATACGCCAGGCTCTGTGGCACACATGTGGAATCCCAATGGCTTGGGAGGCTAAGTCAGGAGGATTACAAGTTTAAAGCCAGCCTCAACAATAGCAAGGCACTAAGCAACTCCGTGAGACCCTGTTTCTAATAAAATACAACTTAGGGCTGGGGATGTTGCTCAGTGGTTGAGTGCCTCTGAGTTCAATCCCCTGTACCCACCCATCCCCCCCCAAAAAAAAAAGAAAGAAGAAAAAATACATGAAATACATGTATTCAGCAAATACATGAAAAATGTTCAACATCCTTAGCAATTAGGAAAATGCAAATCAAAACTACACTGAGATTTCATATCACTCCAGTTAGAATGGTGGTCATCAAGAATACAAACAATAATAAATGCTGGAAAGAATGTGGAGAAAAGGAATAGCTTTACACTATGGTAGGTTATAAAGTACTAAAACCACTATGGAAAACAGTATGGAGGTTCCTAAAAAGACTAGGCATGGAACCACCATACAACCCAGCTACACCACACCTCAATATTTATCCTGAAGAATTAAAGTCATCATACTATACTGATAATTCATACCCATGTCAATAGCAGCACATTTCACAATAGCCAGACTGTGGAATCAGCCTAGGTGGATGAATGGGTAAAGAAAATGTGATACATATACACAATGGAGTTTTATTCAGCAATAAACAAAAAATGAAATTAAGTCATTTGCATGAAAATGGATGGAACTGTGAAGATTATGTTAAGTGAAATAAACCAATCTCAAAAAGTCAAGGGTCATGTGTTTTCTCTCATATGTGGAAGCTAGAGAGTAAAAAGGAAAAGAAAGATATGTGTGGTGGGGGGATGTCATGAAAACCAAATGGATATCACTAGAGTAGAGAAAGGGAATGGGAGGCAAAAGAGGTGAGGGAAAGGGGAAATACTGGGCAATGACACTGGCCAAATTATATTATTAGTGTGCACATATGAATATGCAACAATGAATCCCACCATTATGGATAAGTGAGAAACTGATGTGACTCCATTTTTGAGAAACCAGCCTCTACCTCAGAGCAAAGCCTGTCCAAGGAAGTGGGCATTACCCTTGTCCTTGGAAAAACCCACAGAGCGTTCCTAGGCACATACCCACCCTGCTGAGTTGTATATCTACAAATAACAGGAGAGATCTGCGGAGCCAGGTGTCCCTGACTCAGTCAGGCTAGGTGGGGACCCATAGCAACCCCCTAGCAACCACCAATCAGCATGAGACTGGGAAAATACCTGGGATGCCAGATGACCTTCCCAGTAGTTTATGGTGGTTGATAACATGTTGGGAAACCATGTAGTTCAGCACGTACACCCCTCGTGGTTTAAATCAATCAGTTCAAACGAATCCCCCTCTTGTAGTAACCAATCACCCCTACCCAACTTGTTCCCGCCAGTGAATGCGCTAATCATGTTTTAGAGTTGTTTTATGATTTTCCCGCGGTGTGTGATGATTTGCTAAGAGATGCTATGATGTATGTGAAGTCCCTGCCTTCCCCAAAGAGTGTTTAAAACTGCTGCAAACCCTGGGCTCGGGGCCTCTCAGCGTCACCAGTTGCTGTGTGCGCGGAGGTCTGAGCTAGCTTGCAATAAATGCCTCTTTGCTGCTTACATCAATCTCAGTCTCTGGTGGTCTTTTGGGGGTCCCCAAACTCGAGCATAACATTAATACAATGCAACAATAAAAAAGTGGAGAAAAGTCAATTCTCCGTTTAATATGACAGTAATTTATAGTAAATTAAAGAGGAATTTAAGAATATTTTTTAAGAAATAACAATCTGAAGTAGGTAATTATGAGAAAGAAAATCATTAAAACAACCAAACCCAAGAGGTTCTGCCACAAACCCCAAGGTGAGAGATCCATGCCCTGGACTGTCAAGAATTCTTCTCCGGTACATCTAAAATAAAAGAAAAAAAAATAAAACTACATTTATAGTATTTGTCAAGTTCTATTGCATATATTCACTGTTCCTTTGTTAGAGAAGCCTATAGGTAACCAAATTGTTAGTAGTTAGCCCTTTAAAACTAATAGCTAATAGTTGATGAATGCTAACAATTGTGCCAGACACTATGCTAAGCAACATGTACCTAATAGTTTACTAATCCCTAAAACAATCCGAAGGTGTATAGATATTACGCTCATTTTAAAGAGGAGGAACAGGAGGTTTAACAAGCCTGGGCAAGTTTATAAAGTCACACTATGAACCAAAATTTTAGCTTCCTCAGATTCACTCTTTTCCAGATCTATAATGCTGCTTCCTTAAAAGGAAAATTTGATCAGGTGACCTTTCACTTATTCCTTATAGTGAACCCTCAGCTTTACCTGATGGTATCTATAGCCCTTGCTAAGATGGTCAAAGCTCCTATAGTTCCACTCACCCACAAGACAGCCATTCAAAAGAACTGAGGCAAGAATTCCAAATCTGAGGGAAAAAAACGAGGGAGGGCTTTCTGCCAAAGTCATGTTCTCTCAGCTCTCACACCAAGACCCTACTGAGGAGTATGGAAACCCAGCTCGAGGATGTGACCAGCAGGCCCAGGAATCAGACTCAAACCTTAGGTAGCAGCTAGAGCAGAGCAGGATGCAGCATTCTTGCCACAGGTTAGAAAAGTGGCTGGTACTAAAAACACCTGGTGCCGCCACAATTATTGCCTGCTGCCATTCTTGTGCACCTCTAAGAATTTAGGCATTTCAAAAACATCCCTGGCCTCTCTTTGTTACTGAAGAAGCTTCCTCCTTCCTCTTGCGAGAATGAGCCTTCTGTGAGTGTGAAGCCTGTGGCCACTCCTCCTTATCTGGTCCTACTTTTTCCATCCATTTCCTGCCCTGAACAGCAGGGGGCCAGCAACTGTGTTACAAAGATGCCACAACCATCTGAAACCAAAGAGAGTACACAGGTAAAGAAAACCCCTCTCCCTAGAGGTTTTCCTCTCCGTCATTCAAAATAGAAATTTTTGCTCTTGCTAAGTATTATTTTCATACTCTCTAAAATTCCAGGAGAGATTTAGGATGCTAGGATTCTCTCTTCTCTCTCATTAATTCATGTTTCAAAATCAAACCATTAATAACAATTGTAGAAAACAAAAACATTACATGTTTAAAAGATCCTCTAATTTTATTAAAACCTGAATTTGTTTTAATGATATTGTGCAAAGCTAAGACTTCCATATCAACTTACTGAAATATGCATTTCTTTCTTTAGAGGATACATTCTCGGATAGGAAGAATTCCAAGTTAGGTTACACACACACACACACACACACACACACATACAAACACACACAATGCAGTCTTTGATTTCATGATTTCTGCCAAAGATCTAAGCTGAGAGAAGGCCGAGGATCTTAGTGGGGCCATACTCACTCCTCTTGGGCTATTGCTGCCCTGTTAGCTCTTAAATACTGTCCATGGACTGGCCTCACAGGTAGCCCATAATCCATATATTCAGAGCCTATAACCCCTTGCTAAATTATAAAAGGAGCCCATGTCAATGCAAATGTTCTAAAAAGTGAGGACTGAAATTTAAAATCAAAACAATATTTCAAAAAGCACAAAACACAGATTTCTCCACAATTTTGACTGTTAGAATACAGGAGTTGTACAGCATGTTCATATACATTAGTACACAAGCACTCACTTTAAGAGGAGAAAACAGGTTTAGAAAGGTTTGCTGACCCTAAAATGACTCTTACCAGTTCTAAGCCTAAGGGCCTTTCTACACCACACCACAGTAGCCAGCAAACCCAACCGGACATTGAATGCAAACTTACATCACATAGTTGCTGCAGGTATTGCTTCCTATTGTACCAAGTTCTAAACAGAAGTTCTGTCCCAAAAATTGAGTATGCTGCAGAGCCTATAACACAAGAGTGAGTGGGATAAGGTAAATGGTTGTGAATTTCAAAAAGTTCCCAAAAGATTATCATAATTATGTTCTTGAGTTTAATCGTTACTGTTTCTAGAACATTCACAGAGAAACTCGCTAAAGAACTGAAGTATTTTCCCTAGCAGTCAGGAAGTCTCCGGTGGGGATGTTGTTTCTAATTGTCCAAGAATGGAAATCTCTGTCTAGATCATCCCTTAAGCCCTTCCTTCTTCTTTCCCATTTCATAAACCCACAAACACAATAATTAAAATAATACCATGGTACTCAGTGAATTTTGTTGATTTATGGTAATGGTCTTGTCAATTGTCATCATGGGAATTAGAAACTTGGTTATACAATGAAACAGAAAGTTCACTTTGGAGCCAGTTAGTTTCTAAACCAATACAGCTACGAATATTATGTGGCCTTTGTTTTTCCTCTTATTTGCTTTTCAATATAAACTGTATGTTCTACTCTCCTCTCTTCTGATTATTTTCTTACTTAACTAAACACAATATGTTTTTCATCATTTAGTTAATCTTTCCCATTTGCTAGGAGATTTCTTCCCAACCATCTTCTTCCTCTAACAATAAGGTGACTTGGAAAACCCCAGATGACGTCCAGACCTTCTTTAAACCAAGGCTAAGAGGATATACTCATGCATTCCTCCTGAAAGACAATTCCCAGAAGGGAGGTTCATATCTCATGACTGGGGAAATTAGATCGTTAGGCTTTTTATTTTGATTGTTCCCAATTTGGGAACCCAACTTGAGGACAAAGGAGGACAACTTACCCTAAAGCCATAATGAGGAATACTTAAGTACTGAAGCCAAGAAAGCTTAGGTGGAATAGTTCCAACATACAGTGAGATAACCAGAAAAACCTACAGAAAGCAAAAACCAAGCATCAGAACCAGTCCAGTGACTTCATGAGGAATTCTAAACAAGACCTTCTTCAAGAACCCTAAGACCCCTAAACATTTCTGCTAGAAACAACTCTCTTGAAATTCTTCCTACTTACGTTAAACACTAATATTTGTCCTTTGCTTGTGTAACTCTGCATAGCTAAGGCAGTTTATGGTATTAAAAGAAGGACAAGGGCTGGGATTGTGGCTCAGCAGTAGAGCGCTCACCTAGCATGTGCAAGGCCCTGGGTTAGATCCTAAGCACCACATAAAAATAAGTAAATAAAGGTATTGTGTACAACTACAATTAAAAAATAAACATTAAAAAAGAAGGATAATATACCTATCATCTATATTTATACATTCCACTTATTTGGAAGATTCTTAATTATCAACACGATGTCCTCACCTTTCTTCTGTAACTGTATACAATGAAAGATTAAGAAGTACGGTTATCCTTTGGTATCCTATGAAGAATGGTTCCAGGATCCCCCTTATCTCCAACTCACAGATAACAAAATCTGCTGATGCTAAGTCCCTTATTTTCAAAATGACATAGTATTTGCATGTAACCTAAGTACATCATTTATAGTTTAAATCCTGTCTATTTTAAATCATCTCCATATTTCTTATGATACCTAATACATTGGGCATACTATATAGTTTATACTATATAGTTTAAGGAATAATGACAAGAAAAGAAAACGTGCAAATATTCCATACAGACACAATTATGGGACTGTATAGTTTTCATTAACAGTTGGTTAAATCTTTGGATAAAGAACCCATGGACATGAAGTGCCAACTATACTGACTATTTGGATTACATCACCACTATCTGTTCCCCTAATAAACCTGGCAATCTAGGAACATATTCCAGAAAACTCCTGAGCAGCACATATCCTTCTCTACAAAGTTTTACATTTCATATACATTAATTTAGAAATAATTTGACATTCAGAATGCAAGGTTAAGATAACCAGAAGCCTAGAACTGATAATGAGCACGATGTGGTGAAGCCCATCAGAAATTTGGTCAATGCCTCCATTTAACCATAGCGGAAAGCAGTATCACAGTGAAGATGCCAGGAAGGACTTCTGGAGACACACAAGAGACAGCTAGAGGTTCACATAACACTAGTCCTAACTACTATGAAGTATACTGGGATGTGCAAAACAATGACAATGTTATGATGTGTCTGCATATGTTTAGACGTGACCTAACAAAGTGCTTATTATATCACAGGCACCTCTGAGTGAAATACATTTTTTACCACCAGTTTTAAAGTTCCATAAAGAAACTTTTACATAATAATCAGTCATCATCAAATAACTCAAACAAAACATTTTTATCTATTGGATGATAATATATGAAATACATAAAAAGACTTAGGACTTTCTCAATGATATACATTTGGAGTTGCCACATTCATAAATGGAGGAACTAAATTTTGGCAACAGTTTGTGCTAATTATGTAGCACTTAAAGACATCGGTTCCTGCCAGGCCTGGTGGCACATGCCTGTAATCCCAGCTACTCAGAAGGACAAGACAAGAGGACTAAATTCAAGACTGGTCTGGGCAATTTAAGGAGATTCTTTTTCACAATAAAATTAAAAGAAAGGAATGTAGCTCAGTGGTAGAACATTTGGCTAGCATAAGTGAAGCCCTGTGTTCAATCCCCAGCATCTCAAAATGGAAGGAAGGAAGCATGGAAATAAGGAACATTACTAATATCAGAGGTTGTCAGGAACTCAGAAAGGAGGTAACCTAGTATGGACTTCGGAATTTTCCAATATTTTAAAAGCATTCCTTTCCTAAACACAAGAGGCGCCCAACTTATACCACCCACATGGTGCTGCACACTGTTACCCTTCTCAGGGAGCTTCGCTTTCAACTTGAAGAGAAGTGAATTCAGCTAAACTATCTCTGCTATGGGTAAACAGCCAGCAGTTCAGAACATCGGCATGAAAGGAAGATTGACAACCAATCATGGTTTACAAGGGAATCATCCAACCATAATTATTCTGATGTTTAAGTTTTAATTTATCAAGTTTTTATATGTCACCAAGAAATGTCTTTTAAAAGCTCATTAGAAAGGACATGTTAGTTAATATTATAGGAACTACATTAGTACAGTGCAGAGGAAAGAGGCCTGTTTTTTTAAATAAATTATATCAGTCTATGAACTCCTGAAAATGTCAGAGTTCCATGTACAGAATCCTCAAAGCAGGTTTTATACAACAGGTAGCGGAACAGGAACAAACCAGGAGGGAAATTCCCTCTCATACTCACCATCATAAACACAAAATAGAAGTTCATGAGGAGTGTTGACAGATAGTGCAGATTCTGGCCTGTTGCCATGGCCAGGGACAAAGAACTGGCCGTGTACGTCACCATCGTAACAGTGAATATCGTGATGAAGAAAGCCCCTGCCTCTGGTTTCAATCCTGAGACAGAACAGAATGGGTCAGTCCAGCTATCTAGGTCACCATGTATTCTGGATTGTTTATTGTTCAAACAGCACTATATTATTCTGGGAAACAAATATCAGAATGAAAGAAAGTCACCATCTCACCATCCAACTACTCTTGGATCAATTTCACTTTTTCCCTGGAGGGGAATATGAGTGCATAAAGTTATATCATCCTGTTTTATTTTATAAACTTACTGAAAAAACACTTTTCCATATAACACCTAAGCTCCTTTATGTGCAACTATGAACAATTTCTGAGTTGCTGAGATGGAGACATACAGCCACACAAATGTCCAAAATTCTGCTTCCTTCTCCTGTCATTGGAAACTCATCAACAGCACCTTCTCATATCCAGATGTCGCCACATTACGCACTGTCTGCGACAACCGCACTAGTGAAGAATCTGGGATCAGGATTCCACGACCTCATAGTAGTTTTAATATTTAGGGGAAAGTAAAGTATCTCTGTAATCTATGTCCCCCTAGATAAACCATCAAATGATCCTGTGATTGAGATTGAAGCTTAGTGAAATTTTCCTAAACTACTTTATAAACTATAATGAGCTAATGATATGGGTCACAGAATCTGAAGATTTTAGAATAGACCCAAGAACACTGATCAGGAGTCTGTGGGTTGGGAGGCATCTATATTCCATTACAAATTCTTTATGACACATCTCTGACTTGTGAAATAGAAAGTTTAAACTCTATCAGTATTTTTGTTGTTTTTGTTAATTGAGTAATGTATTGGGTTTTTTTGAAGAAATTTCTGGTGTATATGTGTGTTTTGTGTGTGTGTGTGTGTGTGTCTATACTATGAAATATATAAAATTTTGATTAAATGACCTGGGGTGAAGACTGAGCATACTGCACAAATATATCTGCCTACATCCATCAAATAAGTATCATTATTAAATCAATAAACTTATAAAGTCACCATCTTTCCCTCATTAGAGAATGAGAGGAAGAGAGAATATATGTGTATATTGCTTTTTACCTCTCTTTACATATATTGTATGTATATATATATATATATGTGTGTGTGTGTGTGTGTGTGTGTGTGTATCACTATAGATATTAGATACTACCTATCTATAATTTATGTAGAAATATAATTTATGGAGAGCTATAGAGGAAAATAAGATAGGCAATAAACATCTTGGTTTCTTCAGCATAATTTCAAGTATAAATTCTTTCCATATTTACATATGAAGCAGATCAACTCTCAGTATAATGTAGTTTTATAGTTTTAAAAGTTCAAATGGGGAAAAAGTCTTGAAAACAATGTCCACATTGAATAGCTATTTGCTTATTTATTTACTTTTGTACTAGGGATTCAATCCAGGGGTGCTTTACCACTGAGCTACTTCCCCAAACCTCTCCACCCCAATTTTTTTTGTCTTACTAATGTGCTGAAGCTGGCCTAGAACTTATGATCCTCTTGCTTCAGCTACCCGAGCTCTAAGATAACAAGTGTGCACCACCACACACAGCAGAACAGCTATTTTAGAGAATGCATAATGAAAACATGCTTCCCAATCTCATGTCTTGGTTTATAGTTTGGATAACCAAAATGATTCTTGGGGAAAAAAATTGGCTTCACCTCATATCCAGGACAAGACACAGCCTCTCTGTCTTGTTACTTACCTGCCATGAAGTATATAATACAAATGAACAGCATACTTGGCAACAACTTCCTGGGTAATAAATCAAATAACAATTTTCCAAAGAAATAACATGGCAATCTGTAGTATCCACTGATGTACTCGTGTCTATAGGGGGAAAACACACACACACACCACACATTTTAGATTAGTCCAAGAAGGCACAGCCCAGATGAGATGCTGCTCTGCAGATTCCTGCTGCCACCAGGTCTGATACTGCACCTGCCCATAGGCTCCAGGCTGACCGCCCCCCCACACACACACACCCTTCTCTCCCTCAAGTGCAGCCTCCCTGGGGAATCAGCCCCACAAGGCTCTAACTTGGACCCTGTCTCATGACAGCACCCCTCCTGCTGCTGCCCACTGTAGTGCACATCACTCCTCCAGGGACACCATCTACATCTCCTCACTCTCCTCAGCCACCCTGTTTGTCCTCTGAGACTGGCTCTGACTGAAGAGTGGAACTCCAGTTATTAAGGAACTCCGTGGTAGCAGAGGCTTTTCTTCTCCCCACTTCTGAGTGTAAAGAAAGCGATTTGTTTTTCTCCAAGGCCACTAATGCATCTACACATCTCTAAACTCCTTTATTTCTATTTTCATGTTAAAAAAAAAAGAAAAAGTTTTCTTCCTTCAATGATCACACCTCCATTGTGCAGCCCCGTCACTACTAAATCCCCATATTTCCTCTTCCTGACATTTTTCTCCTGTAATTCCAAAATCTTCCACCAATGTCTCCATTCCTCTCCTCTAAGAATTCTCATCTTTGGCATGTAAGTATGAGCAAATATCTTCCATGTTTGAAAAGCAGAAGAGACAAACCCAGTCTGCTCTTTACTGTAAGGCTGCCTTCTGGCTCTTTCCACTCCTTTATCTACCAGGATTAAACCTTTTCACGTTCTTCATCAGTTTATCTCCCACCTCCGATTTGCTCCTGATCCCAGTACTTAATCATTTCCAAGCTCCTCAAGCTTTTCTTGGAAACATTATCAAGACCTGTTGTTTTCTAAGCCAGGCATGGTGGCAAATGCCTGTGATCCCAGTGGCTCAGGAGAGTGAAGCAGAAGGATCACAAGTTCAAGGCCTGCTTCAGCAACTTTAGCTCTTTTATTGCTTGCTCTCTCTCTGCAGCATTGGGATTTGCTGACCACACCTTAACCTTAGGACTCCCTGTTTCCTTGGTATCAGGTCCCACACAATTTTGATTTTCTCCCCACCTATGACTACTTTTTCTCAATTAACATTGGAAATCCCTATGTATATTGCAAATGCTTTTATTGTATATGATTAATATGTAGAATTCCTATCTGTCAATTAAAGAAATAAAAGAAAACAAAAATACTGCTAATCCTTGGGTTCACATTCTTGGCCCAATTATGTATGTGACCTGTTTGTCCCCAGCTGCCAATGCCCCTTCATAGAACATAGACCTACTCACATAAAGAGTTTCCTCTCGACCACAAAGATCTGCCCAGCTAATATGCTGCTGAAACACTCGTAGACCACCAGCACGAGAAGCAGCCCAGCTCTGCCAGGACAAAATGGAAACAGACACCCTGCAGTCAATTCAATACGACACCAGTTTTCTACCCACAGAATTCTTTACACAAATGATATGACATTAAAAGTTATTTTTAAAAAATAGAACTGTTCTGCTTGAAACAGAGAAACATGACCCCATCAAGTCTCTCTCCCACTGTTTCCACAGTGATTTTCCATAATCCCATATCATAGCACATTTTGAAATTCATGGTCTTAGTTTGCTGGGAACTCAATAATTCCCCACTTAAATTATTAAGTTGAAGAAATTACTACCATCTGGGTGTTATTGGGAGGTAGATGATTCGGTTTACATGAGTTCATGAAAGTGGAGCACCCAAGACAGGATTAGTGCCCTTAGAAGAAGGAGAAAAACCAGATGTTCTGAGATGACAGGGCACAGAATGAAGGTAGGAAAGGACATTCACAGGAGCCTGACATTGCTGGAACAGAACAGTGACCTCAGACTTCCAGTCTCTAAAATTGAGAGAAAATAAATTTCTCTTTTCTAAGGCACAATGTCAGTAGTGTTTTGTCATGGCAGCCAAAACTAATACTTAGGTCATAAAAATATTGTCATCTTCATCTTAACTAAAGAACATGCCAAGGGCTGGGGTTGTGGCTCAGTGGTAGAGCGCTTGCCTAGCATGCCTGGGACACTGAGTTCGATCCCCAGCACAACGTAAGAAAACTAAATAAACAAAATAAAGGCATTGTGTCTATCTACAAATAAAAAAAAATTTAAAAAAGAAAGAAAATGCCAAGTATCATTCCTAACGTATAAACAGAGAAACAGTGAGCTACATAAAGCCCAAAGGGTGAAAACATTTTATTACTAGTTTAGTTTTCAAATGGAGTAAAAGTAGGTAAGATGGACATGGAAGGAAATGCCAGACAGTGGAAGGAGTCCTCACTCAGCTCTAACTACAGACACCCTACACACGGCCATCAGAAAGCCTTGACCAATAGTCTTGACCTAGCCACCTTCCTATCAGGTTTCCAAGGTGCTCAGAAAAGAAATTAAGGCTATGCTTATTTATGAGTTAAAAAAGTAATTTGTGTATCTATGTGAAAAGGAAGAATTTTAATGCTCATATTTCTGTCAAATTCAGAGACAGAAAGTAGAAGTGGTTGTCAGAGGTTAGGAGAGGTTTGTAAGGGGAATTGCTCTTTAATCGGGCTAGAGATTCCATTTGAGAAAACAAAAAAAATAAAAGTTCTGGCATTTGATAGTGGTGATAGTTGCACAATATAAATGCACTTAATGCTGCTGAACTGTGTACTTAAAAAAATGGTTGAAAGGGTAAGATTTGTGTTCTGTGTAGTTTACTACTATATATATACATGTACATATGGGAAGAAGAAAATTAACTCTGTTTTCAGTGCACTAACTCATTGTACCCCACAAAACAATAACATCTGGCCCATACTTATAAATTCAAATATTGACGGATGTCTGCAAGAATGAATAAAGTAACAACAGTTTTTCAAAATCAAGATCCAAATTTACTTACCTACTCTCCGTTTTCATACAACTATTTGTTAGCCCTTGGAAAGTGGCACCTACAAACACTCCAAGTATGACTGTGGCAATTATCTTTTTGGAAAGAAAAAGGGCAGCATTTAAATGAGAGGTGAAAAATTTTGACCATCATTTATACCATTGTAATAGATATGGCTGCATAATCAAAATTTGTCCATTGAGATAAACACTTTAAATGGCTTGGCCAGATTTTCTGGGAGAATATAAAACAGTGTATGTTATTAATGCTTTCTAAACTAAATTGAAAATTAACATATCTGTTGTTTGGGGAACTGAAAGCAAATGACTGTACAAGCTAAGATTCTCCCATATCTACCAGGCACTGCCAATGTAGGGTTTAGTCTGACTCAGGAACTTATGAATAGAATTCATCAAATAAATTAAGGTATAATGTAACCCATGATCCTTTGCTATTTGAAACATCCTTAAGAAAATTTTTATCATTAAAAAATGATGTTTGTATGGTCTCCTTAGGAGTCATCCACACAGATTGAATAGGTGCAGATGGTTGAGGAGGATGAAGAATTAGCACTTCAGCTGTGATGTGTTAACTGTTGGCTTCACTGGCCAAGGTTGATAGAGAGGCAGTGACAGAGGAGATGGTAATGGAAGCACTGGGGTGCCCCCAGAGAAAGCTAACTGAATTATTTGGTGACTATAAAATGCACTTTCCCATACAGGCAGGAACCCCAAAGGTAGAGGTGAGGCCCAGGTCATGCCTACTTCCTTGTTGTGCAAAATTCCATTTTTGGAGTGTGTTTCTAAATATTTATTATTTATTTTGCACTGCTTGGAATTGAACCCAGGGTCTTGTACAATCTTAGGCAAACACTACATTCCTGGCCCTGAAACTGAATTTCAAAAAGGCTGAGAGTTCAGTTCAAGACCAAATTCTAGGCCACTTGGACTTTATTTTATTCCCCAACAACTTCCTCAGGTCCTGCATGGCTATGCTACCCTGTGTGGCAAGATTGATTTGGGTCGACTTTTAATAGCTGGAGGAAAAAAGATCAAGAATAATATTTCTTGTAATATAAAATTTATAATCAAACTTCAGTGTCCAAAAATAAAGCTTTATCAGAATACAGCCAGGTTCACCTGTTTATGCATGAGTTATGGCTGCTTTGTGCTAAAACGGCAGGGTTGACTACCTGAGACAAAGACCATATGGCCTGCAAAACTTAAAATATTTACCATTGGCCCCTTACCAAATAGGTTTGCCTATTCATATACTAACACTCCAGTATTCACAAACCTGAACAAGAGTTCAGGGGGCTACCTACACAGCTGAACTTTAGAAACCGGTGAGGGGCAAAACCAGTGAGAAACACTTATAGAGAGAAAGCTGGGATCAGGTGGGACACAGAAAGTTTCCAGTGCAAGTGTAGCCACAACCATAAGGCAGTCAAAGACCATGATTCAAGTCACTGCTCTCCACAGTTCTACCCTTATTTTAGAGACTGATAATTCTCTGAATGTTGCTGGAATTCCTTTTGAGTTTATTGATGAAGTAAGTTGGCTGTTTGCACCTTAAGGAAGCCTAGACCCAAAACAGGCACAATCCTGGTATACAAGTAACTGTGTTCTGATAATGCCCTGCCCAGAACTCCTGTGTATGTAGCTTGGAAAAGATACTTATAAACCACTTTTTAAACGCAAGTAAGGAAAACTTAATGCATAAATCACACGAAAGAATCTACTCGTTTCATCATCTCCTGCTGAACAGTGGGTAACCTAAGTTGATGGCTCTAATTCAGCTGGCATGATTCTAAATGAAATTTAAAATATATTAAAGAATAAAACATTACTCTTCATTGATAGGACACAAAATTGCTTGTGTTCTGACAGAAATGACAAATAACAAGGCTAAAAAAACATTTGGAGAAATTGAGTCCACTAAGGGTGAATCAAATAAGGATATATGTTCTCAGGTACACTAAATATGAAAATTATAGTGCACATGTTAAGAAGTCAGAAGTATTTCATTAGTACTGACAACATGCTATCTTTCCAGACTCAACAGAAATTTAGTGATTGATAATAAAAATAACAGTCCCCAAACAACCAGGTGAATTACAGATGATAGATCAATGAACTGGGAGAACTAGTGTTTTGCGTGACACACAGGTTACGAATAACAGCAAAACTTCAAAGAGTGATAATCAATAACTATTACAGAGCCAGGCAAAAGCAGAAAAGAACATTATCTCATCTTAAAGGAGTTAGCTACACAGTGAATAGCCTCATTAAGCCTGATTATTACCTGTGTATAAACTGAAAACTCTTTAAGGTATCTAGTGCTTTCCAAAGATAAGAATCTTTAAGTAGGAAGGTCAATAATAATAACAACACTCTGCATTCAGGCTCTTCCTTCAGACAGTGGACAGTTCAGACCAACTGCAGGTATATTCAACAACTCCAGGTTTCCCTCACTGCCTGATTTCAACTGTAAACCAACGCTCTTCTCTCTACTTCTTCTCTGTCCCTCCCCTACCTTCATCCCTTCTCTGCTTAATCTTCCTGCATAGTCTCTTCTGTCATCTGACATGCCATCTATTTTCTTTATTCAGTTATCATTGTCTTTTGCTATCATAATAAGTCCCATGAGAGCAGAGATTTTAATTGTACCCATTATTCACTAGTGTAACAGAGTCCCAAAGTGCAGCACACGATCTTATGTTGACATTGTTGAGTAAATTACTGGATGATAGGGGACAACTACTAGAATACCCCAAATAAGGCTGACTCTACATTTACATTACAATTTTTTTTTTTTTTGCTCAGATTACTCATTACAGTTTATTTCAATCCTCAACATTCTGAGTTAGGTGGCCCAAGTAAAAACTAAAACAAGCTTTACATGTTAAAATCTTGATTGTGTTTCACTTGTTCTATCGACTGTTTCTATATCCCAAATGAAGTGGGGATGACAAGTCGATGGAGGGGTGGGTAGAAGATACACAGAATCCTGAAGTGGACCACATCAGAACCAAATAGCTCCCACCTGAGTACTTCACAGCACAATGAAAAGAATTTGTCAGGTTACCTGAGCTATAGAGGCACGGGGAATACCCAGAACATTTTTGAAGGAACGCCTGATAATCCATCTGAGCTGATGACAGAAGGAGGTGACATAAGTGATTTTCTTGAAGGCTGAGCTCCTCTTCTTTTCCTGACCTCCTGAAAGTTCATCTAACTCAGCTTTGGTATCTCTGTAGAAGGAGGAGGTGGCATAATATTCAACTAGTTTTTCTACGACTGACTTTTCTCTCTGAGAAAGCTGCTCAGTCTCGTTAGCTTTGGGATAAAAGTGGATAAAGAAGAGAAACATTATTAACAGGTTACTGCTAAACGAATCCATTCTTCTACAACTCCTTTCTTCGATAACATTCTAATTCTAAAGCTTGAATATAAAAAGAACCACTAGCCTTGTCATTGCTTTATATTTTAGAAAAACACAGTGAATGAACCGGAACTACTGGTGTAATTTTATAGGTACAACAAATTCACTGACTTTTTCCTATTTGCCTCTTCACAAAATAGATTCCTTACCACACAGTGGAATAATTCCTAATATAAAAATCTGGCCCTTCCTTTATACTCTGTATAAGTGCATAAAGAGCCCAGTTTCTTATTTCAAAAATAGCATAAAAATGAGAATATTTCTTATTGGGAACCCCCTTCCAACTGACAGTATCATAGAGATGCTCATTTACAAATTAAAATTAAAATGCCCACAGCTCTATGAACAACAAAGTCTGTCTGTTGACTCATCAGAACACAGCATTAACATGAATTCACAAAGGCAGGTTTTAATGAGCCATCACATTGCTAAACTTCAGCCAAAGCAACTAGGCAAAATGAATCTAAGAGACTTACATACCTTCACAGTCTCCTTCCTCTCTGTTTAATCCCACAGCAGAAAAGTCTTCGTTAATGATATCCAGGAAGAAGTCCGCAGGGTTGTTGTAAGGTTCACATGGGTAACCTGAGAAGGAAAGCACCCCAAGAACTCAATATGATAGTCATGGAAGGTGAAGAGGACTCACTTCCAGAGGGTGATGAAGGTGAGGTTAGGGAAGACAGAATCTAACTTCTCATCTTCTCGTTCTCTTTTCTCAGTATTCATCTTTTCTCCTTATATGTTCAAGTCACACAATATTTTATTTCTTTCCAGCTGATAAGATATATCTATTATATAATAGATCTATTATATAATAGATATGGGTAAAGAAAGGAAATATTATTAACAGGTTACTACTAAACTAATCCAATCTAATAAATATATCTATTATATAGAGATATACCTATTATAAACATTTATATATCTATATAGATTTGATTTTTCCATACCAATCATGGATTCTTTAGAACATCTTACATTAGTCCTTACCTATCATAAATCATGAAACCCAAATAGTCATCAATATGATCTGATGATTATTAGTACTCTTCCATAAAACTAAATCTGTGTCCAAGAAAAAAAGTGTTAAATGCTGGGGCTTGTTGTACTCTCAGAGTTCACACAGCAAATACTAGAACAGCAGTGCACCTATCTGCAAAAATAGTTTCTCCACCTTCTACATTCAGAGATCCAAATTATTATCTGTCCATCTGCCATAATTCCAAATAGACAACAAATCCACAAAACAGCATTATCAAGAGAGAATGATTAGCACAGCACACCTAAGCTCTCACCTCTAGTCCTGTGGCACAATCATCTGAACTTGACCTGAGGTCTCACTCTTAAAATTTTTATCTTCTTTGGATTCCCTTAGACCCATATATGTTTGATCATTTTCAAATGACAGAGATTAAACAAAAGAAATTAAGAAAGACAGCTAATGAATATTTACAATGATATGTTAGGTCATGAGGACACATCTATAATCATACCCAAATATTTCTAAAATGAAGTAGATTGCATGAGTCATTTAAAATAATCACAAAATTCAATCTGATATAGAAAGAATCAGGCAGCCCAGAAATGTCAGAAATACTGGCCCATCAAAGTCAGATTTAGGACAAGATATTGTATTGACTAATAGCCACTTGCACTTATTCAAAGCCTAAATCTGCAATTTAATGTTACTATAAAGTTAAGCAACATCTCCATGAGCCCTCATCAGGGTATATAAGAAGATAACATGATGGAGGAAAAACTGAAATGCCATCATCTCTTATGTGGTCAAAACAATGACATGAGGTCATTCCATAAATGTTAATTGACTAACTGGCTCTAAGTTCACTACATTTATTACTGAACTTTCAGGGGGGAGGTCATTATAACTGGGAAGCAGAGCAGACACAGGCCTAGTAGAAACATACATATATGCATACTTGTAGGACAGGATAAGGAAAGAGACCTAAACAACAAGTAAGTCCTGCAAAATGGAAAAAAAAAAAAAAAAAAAACTTCTGGCATCAAATTGACCAAAGATGTTTAGAGTGGTGGCACCCCACGTAAATGCAAACATCCAACAGGACTCTTGTCGCCCCTCTGTTCTCTATGATTCTATGAATTGAGGATTTAGTGCATGAAAAAGTCAGCCACACCTATTGATTCAAAGTACCCCAAAGCCTTCTGTGCAGGACCATGGAATATAAGTCTTCCTGAGGCCAATAATGTGAGGCAGTCAAACAGCTTGAAGATGAAATACTGAGGTTGATGAATGGAGAAGATGATTGTTCGTCCCCGCTCAGAAATCCTAAGTTAAAAGAGGGAAAATAACAAATCATTAAGCATCTGAACCTTGTACTTCTTTAAAAAGTACTTTACTCTGCCAGTAAGCCATTTGTTCCAATTTAACTTGATTTTCTCTTACAAACTTCTCATCTCATCTACTTGATAGTTGAGGAACTTAAATTCAATGCATTTATTTTGTTAAGGATGGTGCATCAACATTCTAAAATTCACTAGAATGTTTATTGACAATGCAGATTCCTAGACAGATCTCCTAGACCCTGAATCAAAATCTCTGGGGTTGGGTACAGGGGTCATTTTTTTTAATATTTATTTTTTAGTTTTAGGTGGACACAATATCTTTACTTCGCGTTTATGTGGTGCTGAGGATCGAACCCAGTGCTTCCTGCATGCCAGGAGAGCACTCTACCACTGAGCCACATCCCAGCCCAGGAGTCATATTTTTAACAAAAAAAAAAATCTCAAATTTAAGGACTAATTATGAACAGGTGTACTCAAATTTGAGGACTGCCTGTTAGTAATTAGACCTTGGAGAAGGGACAGGTTGGTATCATTAGCAGGGCAGTGCCTTGCCCCTTCTCTCAACTAATCTATCTGGTAATTGTCTCTAATCTGTAGACCATTCCTCAAGTGGAGAACTTTGGGGGTTTGAAACAAGTCTGGGGTCTTTTAACCCAGGGGGAAAGGCACTGGTGTTATTCATAGCATGACCTGTGTTTGGAGAGCCTGTAACCAAAACTAAAAAGCAACTTCTTGAGGGATGGAGGACTCCTTGAAGCACTGCCAACATAAATCCACCTCAGGTAAGTAGTCAGAGTAACTTTTCAGGATTTCAAACCAAATGAGACACTTGTATTTCAGTAAATGTGTTCCTATGCTCGATGTTTTTGTTTCCCTTTAATTCTGATGTAAACATTTGTTGTGAAAAGAAAATGGGGCAGAAGGGTTTACAAAGTGAATGGAGGATAAAGCAACCAGCCAGAACAATTGGGAGACTGGTTGCATTAGAAAACTAAATTATTTGTTTGAGTAAGTGGATATATTGAGAAAATGGGAGTTACATCTTTCCCAGTCTGATGTCGCTTATAAACATGAAAGTGGCAAAGACTCAAAATGACATGGAGATTTTAGACTAGAATTCAAATAGTATTATAAACTGATGGGCTTTTTAATATGTACACACTAACAGAAACAGCAATAGTTACAGATGTATTTTTACATGGTTCTTTCTATTCCAATATATGTGTATATATGTACACACATATATGCACATGCACATAAAATATTTATATTCCACATATTTCTAAATAAAATATAAAAGTACTTTTCTACATGGTATACAAATATAAACATACACACCCATACATGTGTTTTCCTACATCTGCCTACAAAGGTCAATTGGCAATGCCAGTAGTAGTAACAGAGAGAACTAAAAAAGCAGACCTTGGTTTTCATTTATTTATTTACTTATAAATTTTTATTAATTTTTTAATATGTGACAGCAAAATGCATTACAATTCATATTACACATATAGAGCAATTTTCATATCTCTGGTTGTATACAAAGTATATTCACACCAATTCATGTCTTCATACATGCGCTTTGGATAATAATGTCCATCACATTCCACCATCATTTCTCACCACATGCCCCCTTCCTTCCCCTCCCACCCTTTTGTCCTATCTAGAGTTCATCTATTCCTCCCATGTTCCCCCTCCCTACCCCACTATGAGTCAGCCTCCTTATATCAGAGAAAACATTTGGCATTTGTTTTTTGGGGATTTGCTAACTTCACTTAGCCTTATCTTCTCCAACACCATTCATTTACCTGCAAATGCTATGATTTTTATTCTTTCTTATTGCTGAGTAATATTCCATTGTGTATATATGCCACATTTTTAAATCCATCTATTGAAGGGCATCTAGGTTAGTTCCACAGTTTAGCTATTGTGAATTGTGTTGCTATAAACATTGATGTGGCTGTGTTCCTGCAGTTTTTAAGTCGTTTGGGTATAAACCAAGGAGAGGGATAGCTGGGTCAAATGGTGATTCCATTCCCAGTTTTCCAAGGAATCTCCATACTGCTTTCCAAATTAGCTGCACCAATTTGCAGACCCACCAGCAGGGTATGAGTGTACCTTTCCCCCCAAATCCTCACCAACAATTATTGTTGTTTGTCTTCATAATAGCTGCCATTCTGATTAGAGTGAGATGAAATCTTAGAGTGGTTTTGATTTGCATTTCTCTAATTGCTAGAGATAATGAACACTTTTTCAAATATTTGTTTATTGATTGTATATCATCTTCTGAGAAGTGTCTGTTCAGATCCTTGGCCCATTTATTGATTGGGTTATTTGGTTTTTTTGGTGCTTAGCTTTTTGAGTTCTTTATATACCCTAGAGATTATTGCTCTATCTGATGTGTGAAGGGTAAAAATTTGTTTCCAATATGTTGGCTGTCTATTCACCTAACAGATTGTTTCTTTTACTGATAAGAAACTTTTTAGTTTGAATCTATCCCATTTATTGATTCTTGATTTTAATTCTTGCGCTATAGGAGTCTTATTAAGAATGTTGGGGCCTAATCCCACATGATGGAGATAAGGGCCTACTTTTTCTTCTATTAGACACAGAGTATCTGGTTGTGTTCCTAAATTCTTGATCCATTTTGAGTTGAGTTTTCTGCATGATGAGAGGTAGGGGTTTAATTTCATTTTGTTGCATATGGATTTCCAGTTTTCCTAGCACCATTTATTGAAGAGGCTGTTTTCCAATGTATGTTCTTGGCACCTTTGTCTAATATAAGATAAATGTAGTTTTGTGGGTTAGTCTCTGTGTTCTCTATTCTGTACCATTGGTCTATCAGTCTCTTTTGGTGCTGATACCATGCTGTTTTTGTTACTGTTACTCTGTATTATAGTTTAAGATCTGGTATAGTAATGCTACCTGCTTCACTCTTCCTACTAAGTATTGCTTTAGCTATTCTGGGTCTCTTTTTGTTCCAGATGAATTTCATGATTGCTTTTTCTATTTCCATGAGGAATGCCATTGGGATTTTGATCAGAATTGCATTAAATCTGTAAAGTGCTTTTGGTGGTATAGATATTTTGATAATATTAATTCTGCCTATCCAAGAGCAAGGTAGATCTTTCCATCTTCTAAGGTCTTCTTTGATTTATCTCTTTAGGGTCTTGTAGTTTTCATTGTATAGATCTTTCACCTCTTTCATTAAGTAGATTCCCAAGTTTTTGTTGTTGTTGTTGTTTGGTTGGTTGGTTGGTTTTGTTTTTGAGGCTATTGTAAATGGGGTAGTTTTCCTCATTTTCCTTTCAGAGAATTTGTCACTGAAATACAGAATTGCCTTTGTCTTTATATCCTGCTACTTTGCTGAATTCATTTACTAGTTCTAGAAGTTTTCTGGTGGAACTTTTAGGGTCTTCTAGGTATAGAATCATATCATCAGTAAATAGTGCTAATTTGAGTCCTTCTTTTCCTATGTGTATCCCTTTAATTTATTTCATCTGTCTAATTGCTCTGTAGTATACACAGAAGTAATTAAATATTAAATAAATGAAAGAACAATATTCCCATAGCATTTACCTTTTCAGGAGCAAAAGGACAGTACTAGCTGTGCTCGAGTCTAAACCAGTTGTGGGCTCATCCAGGAACAAGATGGGAGGATCAGTGATCAGCTCCATTGCTATGCTGGTCCTTTTTCTTTCTCCTCCAGATATAAACTGGGTTCCAACCTAAAACACAGTTATTGTTATTGTTTCTCTCACAAAGAAACAACCACAGTCACTGTCATTTGGTAGATTAGCCTGTGCCAGTCCTATTAGAGACACTTTATTTTGTTGTCCTTATTATTCTGAATGCAAATAAATAGACATCTGAGAGAAGAGGGGGTTTCTCTTTTATTAGATGAGTGAAATGAGGCTCAGGACACAGGTTCCAGATGACTGGCCCAGATATAAAGGCTAAGCTTTTAACAGTTATGTATGTTTCTTATCAAGTTGCATGTTTAGGTTTAGCATAAATAAGCTTGAACACTAAAAGATATGTCCCTGATAGTGGCATCACACTATAAAACAAGAAATAAAGATAGGAAAGGAAAAAGGAAAGTCTCTCTAGTGATTTATTAGTCTTCTAACAACATCCCAAATACTGTTTCAAACAAAAGTCTCCAAGTGGATTTACAAAAAATAAACTCACAATCAAAGAAGCGTGCTTTCTACCACACCACATTAGCAACTTTTCAATGACTGCAAGTCATTCCAAATTGACACTGTGCCCACCCCCAACTCATTGAACAATTCCTTGTTTGTTCTTTTAAAGCAAATCTAGATGTGATATTCCACAGGGCCACTGTCTCAGTCTTTTCAACTAGTCAATGTGATTGTGTGTTGAGGGGAGTAGAAAGGTTTTGGGGAGACAGAAAGTAGCAAACAATTCTGAAATTCAGAGTCTCCAAAAGGATAATAATCAAATGCCACCCAAGGCCTATGACTGGGTCCTGTTAACAACTGAACTACAAAAGACATTTGGAGGGCTGGGGTTGTGGCTCATCAGTAGAGTGCTCACCTAGCAAGTGTGAGACCCTGGATTTGATCCTCAGCACCACATAAAAATAAATAAGTAAAATAAAAGTATTGTGTCCAACTATGACTAAAAAATAAATATTAAAAAAGGACATTTATAGACAATTTGAAGGATGTGAATGAATAGGGGCTTGACATAGGTGATGATATGAACATACAGTCCATTTTGTTAGTTGATAATGGTATTGTGGTAAAGTAAGGAAATGCCATTTTATAGATACATAATTAGTATTCAGGGATGAAACACTGTATGATGTTCTTTAAAATATTCAGCATGAAATTGTTGAAGTAATTATGGCAGGTGATATTTACAACTGATAAAGCAAGGTGAATAGTATGAGCAATTATATTACCATATGATCTGACAATCATATCATTGTCATATTGACTATTTTCTCTACATTTTTGTTATGTGTAAAAAATTCATAAAAATTTAAAATTTTTTCAATTAGATTACATAAATTATAAAAAGTCAATAACTGCCTTCACATATTTTCCTTTAAAAATCCAAATAAGTAACTTTGAGCAGTGCCTGCTTAAAGTTAAAGAACATAGTTAAAGAACACTGGGAAGGCAAAATCAAATAAATAAAGATCCAAAGGAAAGAAAACTCAATGACTCATAAAACAAAAATAAGTGCTAAATGGTGGCATCCCAGGATTCTTCTTCCAAACAAAGTATACTTCATATAAAATACTGTCAACAGGTACCAGGGGAAGCAGCAGAGAGTACAGCCCCTCAATTCTTCATTGCCTCAAAGGAGAGGTGATAACAGGGGGTGCCAAAGGCTAAAAAAACGGCTATAGAAACATAACTTGGTCACCACATAAATTATAAAAAAATTCTAATGTGACCAAATATAATTTTCAAAGCCAAATTAACCCAAAATGAACTACACAGAACTAGAATCTTTGGATTCCTGTCATTTATCAATCCTAGAAATACGCCTTAAAAAAAGCATAAGAACAAAGTCTCCCCAGATCAAGAGGAAGAACAACTACTAAAGGGGTAGTAGAAAAAAGGAAAAATAAAACTTAGAGCAAAGACATCAAATGATCTCTCATTTAACAACAAGGGTGAGAAGACCACATGGAAAAGGCCATGTGAGGAACACTCTTCAAACTAGACCACACTCCAATCCTGGGATTCAACCATCATTAAGATTGCCTCTCCAGCTTCATTACCACCTTCATATTATATAACTTGACTTTTCTCATCATTATGGAAAGCAGTCACATTGACCTTATGCACCTTAGGAAACTTCTGATTAAGGTCACATTGTTCACACAGGGAAGTTCTCTTTTCTGGCTGATTCTATCGGGGTTTTTTCACATTACCTTAACATCAGCCACTTTACTCAGACCTAAATTTTTAATGACTTTGTTGATCCTCTCATTTTTTTCTTGATTTGTCATAGTTGTTGGAAGCCGAAGAGCTGCTGAGAACTGTAAATTTTCTCTCACTGTCAGGGTGCCCATCACAACATCATCCTGAAGGCAAATAGTATTTTAATGAGACATACTAAGTCTTTTCTAAGACTATCCCTCCAGTGAATGTAACTTAATACACACACACACACACAACCCAAGGTAAAATTTCAGCTCCACAGATTTCAGTGATTCCACATACAGAGAGCTACAGAGTCCAAGGGAGGCAGTTCATCCACCAGTGCACACCCAAATGGAGCACTGGTAATTATGATGACTCCAACAGGTACTTCCAGACTGCTTTGTATAAGGATTCGCCAAAGGCATTGTATAGGGAAAGTAGGAAAGTAAAGGAAGGGCAAAAAAAAGGATAGGAATTGGCTTTTATGTAAATGATACAACAGCTAGAATCAACACCACTGCCTGACAGGGGTCATAGTCTAGATCCTCCTTTCCTTTCCATTTAATTCTAACCTCACTCTTATGGGAAATTATGAAAAGCAGGTGTAAACAAGTTTTGTTTCATGAGCATGTGAAATAATCAACTGGAATCATACTAAATTATAAGCCAAGGTTTTTCCCGATTCAGAACCAAAAAAATCTAAAGGGAAAATTCACTAATACTTACTTGTACCACATAACCGGACTCACATGGGAAATTGGCATTCCGAGGTGCTCCATTTACCAAAACTTCTCCAGATAATCCATGTGGATCTTTCCTTGCAGCTAAGATATCTAACAAACTATAAAAGGGTACATATGTTATAGGGTTTTTTCTCTTCCTACACAGGCCATGTCTCTCAGCTACTCTTAACAGACATTTTTCTCAAGTCAGAAAATTAACTAGTCAGGATGTTTTTAAAATTTGTATGTGTGTGTGTGTGTGTGTGTACTTAAATTTTCACCCTTCTTTTCATCATGGGCTACAGGAAACACCAAAAACATAAAAGCAAGGTATCATTGGCTTACCCAGCACAGGTGTCCCAAATGACCCACATGGCTGTCTTACCTTGGTGGGTCCAACACAGGAAATGTGCTCCTTTATCTATGCCCTCACAAAGACCTTCTGCTCTACCTCCACATTTTTAATATTATCCCCTTATTTCCCACCCCAATGCTCATAGCATGCCCCCCAGCCCATATATGCCAAATAACTTATCAAGTCCTATTAGTAAAGCCAACCTATTAAGACTTCCTGGTTCTTGGGGAAAAAAACACAAGCTAGCCCAACTGCCTATCAACAGCACCTAGGACCAGAGAAGACATGTACAGCAAATGCTCAACCAATATCTACTCACACTAAAAATGATTGTTAAAAACACACTGAAGATTCTGGAAAAAATGGAGTAGGAGAAGGGTGTAAATTTCACTTATTCCATGAGCTTGAGGCTCAAGCAGCAGGAAAATACTGCTACCTTGTAAAGTGGGTGACAGGGAACACACTGAATCCCAATATAAGAATCATAAAGACAGAAATTCAGGAACTCTGAACATAGGGCAGGAGAGAATACCTTGGGAATCCAACCTATAATGCTGCAGATCAGTCCACTGTAGAGGGGAGGGGAGACCCAAGCAGAAAGAAGAGATTGAATCTGAAGGAAATTTGGCACAGGGTAACTGGTAAAACAGAGGTGAGGTCTGAACTTGGGTGACTCTGAGGCAGTGCTGTGTGAGGGGTGTTCTGTGCTTCCTGGCTGGAGGGTGGAGAGCTGATGTGGGATGCCATCTTACAGTGACTATGAGGTGACTTTCTGCTACAGGAGCCAGGGAGTTCATAACAAGCATTGGCCAACTGTCCCTGCATACGCCTGCTGTGAGAATTAGAGTCCTCCTGGTGGGGGCATGACTGAGGAAGGCACAAAGAGGATTGTGCTCTTTGGTGGCTTGCAGGGTTAGTCTAAGTGAACTTAGAAACTGGACAGATGGGTACATTTACACTCGGGGTCTGTTCCTGGAACAACCATATTTATGGAAAGTGATGTGTGCAAGAACAGAGACTTCATCGCTTTACCCCAACAATGGAGTTCTCAGGAGCCCCCTCCCCATACTCAGACACCCAGTGAAGATTAGCTTCTGTCTGGCAATAGGGTGGATCGAGCCATTTTCCCTAGAGTAGAAAACTCACGGCAAAGCTCACAAGTTTGGTCAGAGCTAAGTTTGCCAGTTGCCTGAACTTAACATTTAGAAGTCTACATCAGCCCCGCCTGGGGAGTGCACTCACCGAGTTTGCATGGACAAAACTCCAATTGTCACTACTTCCTATTCTGTCCTTAAACTGGCAAGAGGGGAAACTGAGAATCAATACAGGCAGCTTCAGTTCCAGGCCACTGTACCTGACAGCTGAGTGAGGAACTCAAAGAAGATGGACTTCACAACTCCCAGCCCTTGCTCTAACGGGTACACAGCCATAGAAGAAACAGAAAGGACAGGAAGGCATAGGCAGTGGACATCCATACTTGCCAACAGTGTTGCCCACCTCAGCAGAGCAGCCCTTCATGTGTAATTAAAATTTTTCTTTCCCTTTATCCTTATTCTTATTTTTTTTTCTTTTTTCCATCAACTGTGTGTGAATGTGTGTATGTGTGGGATGTATGTTCTGTTTCGATTTCCTAGTGGATCTTCATTTTTATCCCCTTTTTCCTCTTTTTAAATGTTTTCCTTTCCTCAACCATTTGTTATTTCACTTTCTTTTAACTTTAGAGGGGTAAGGTTTTGGGCTTATGTGTTTTGGGTTGACTTTTCATCTCTTTGTTTCGGCTCTTTTTTGTTGTTGTTTTGTTTGTTTTTTCTCTTATTACTCCTCTCTTCCCCCTTCAGTAGCTTAATTCACTTGTTCTCTCTCTTTCTCATTACTTATTTTATTGGGGAGTCAGGTATTTTTTACTCCTCTTTATTTATAGCCATTACAATCCCTCCCCTGCTGCACTTCAGTTCACCTTTTGAATATTTTAAATTTCCTTTTACCTTCCTACCCCACTTTTTTTCTTCTTAATGAACTACAGTTTTACTATCTTTAAGAACAATTTAGTTTGTATAATTACTCCCCCACCATTCATGTTTCTGCAGTTATTAGCATTGGGAAGGGCATAGTTGGTAACTATTATATATTTTTATACTAGTTATAATTCATGACTGCTTATTGTTACTGCTGTTGTTAAATGCTTACCCTGCAAATCCTCTTTTTGTGGGAATTAATGGTATATTAGTGCCATAGCAGGCACCAGGAATTTATTCTAATGCTCTATATTGATCACTACTATTGCTGTTGCTTCTTTTCCCTTTTTTTCTGAGAGGGGCTGGGAAGTAACTGGTACACTACAAGTTCAAATGAGAAACTCTGCAGTTGAATAACACCCACATCTCAGCAAAGTGACAGTGTACCCTCCTTCACACACAAATCAACCCTAATCAAGCTTCAAAAATACTTTGACACATAGAATAGAGGAGACAAAAACTCCAAACCAATGATTAGCCCCCAAGTAAGAATGACTAGAAGGAGACATCAGATTCCCCTCTTGGACATTTTTCCTACATCAAAATAAAAAATATTCCAAAAAGAAGACTCGAAAAACCTTACAGTGTTATAGCAGCTCTTAGAAGAGTGAATTCATTCAGCAGTTCTATAGCAGCAAACTGAGAGTCTTTGTTGGTCATAACTAATACTTGGAATACACTCAGCCTACATACTGAAGCCAACAGATACCAACAACACAGGACTTATTACAAAAGAGACAACTACCTCCCAAGGATATCATCACAAAGGAGGAAAAGGAGTCCATTTCATGTGCAGGTCCAAGATCTCTGAAAATATGAGGAAAAAGTCTCCCTCCAAATGTTACAATCTTCCAAAAAGGTACACACAGACACGTAAGGGAATAAAATTTCAAAGAAAGATTTTGAAACTTTGATTATTAAAAGTATTAATGGGGAACTGTGACCACCCACAGAACAGGCCCAGTGGCCTGCTGAGGGGCAGAGCCGCCCCCCACCCCCCACGCCTGACAGGTAGGCGGAACTGTGACCACCCACAGAAAAGGCCCAATGGCCCGCGGAGGGCCAGAGCTTCCAATCGCTCCTGCAAGGTAGGCGGGCCTGCGACCCACCGGCAGAACAGGCGCAGCGGCCTGCTGAGAGGCAGAGCCGCCCCCTCCCCCTGCAACGGCAGGGTAGACGGAACTGTGACCACCCTCAGAACAGGCCCAGCGGCCTGTTGAGGGGCAGAGCCGCCCCCTCCCCCTGCAACGGCAGGGTAGACGGAACTGTGACCACCCTCAGAACAGGCCCAGCGGCCTGTTGAGGGGCAGAGCCGCCCCCACCCCCCGCGCCTGCCAGGTAGGCGGAACTGTGACCACCGACAGAAAAGGCCCAGTGGCCAGCGGAGGGGCAGAGCTGCCAACCACTCCTGCAAGGTAGGCGGGCCTGCGACCCACTGGCAGAACAGACGCAGCGGCCTGCTGAGAGGCAGAGCCGCCCCCTCCCCCCGCGCCTGCAAGGTAGACAGAACTGTGACCACCAACAGAACAGGCCAGACCTGAAACCGACAGACAGAGCAGGCCCAGTGGCCTGAGGAAGGGTAGAGACGCCCCCCCCCCCGCGCCTGCAAGGTAGGCGGACCTGCGACCCACCGGCAGAACAGCCCCAGAGGCCTGCAGAGGGGCAGTGCCGCTGCCTGCGCCTGCAAAGTAGGCAGAACTGCGACCACCGACAGAACAAGCCTAGCAGCCCGCAGAGGGACAGAGCTGCCGCCCGCGCCTGCAAGGTAGGCGGACCTGCTACCGACCGGCAGAGCAGGCCCAGCGGCCTGCCGGCATGGTAGGCACATTGCCCCAATTGGAGGAGGGGCAGAGCCGCCGCCCGCGCCTGCGAGGGAGACTTTGCAACTATACAAGACCAATATAAATATATAGGGGGAAAATTCAATAGCACAACAGTTTCACCAAGTAGAAAAGAACGCGAACAGTATGAAGAGACAAGGAAAGAAAGGACCACAAGCAATGCAGGTCAACTCAACGTTAGAAGAGGTAATAGCTGCAGCAGATGGAATGTCAGATAAAGAATTCAGGATATACATGCTTCAGATGATCTGGAGTCTCAAGGAAGACATCAGACAGCAAAATCAGACAATGAAAGATCACTTCAACAATGAATTACATAAACAAATCCAAGAAGCAAAAGATCAACTATACAGGGAGATAGAGGTTATAAAAAACAAACAAACAGAAATCCTAGAAATGCAGGAAGCAATAAACCAACTTAAAAACTCAATGGAGAATACTACCAGCAGAGTAGAACACTTAGAAGATAGAACATCAGACAATGAAGATAAAGTATTTCAACTTGAAAAGAACATAGACAGCTCAGCAAGACTGTTAAGAAACCATGAGCAGAACATCCAAGAAATATGGGATAACATCAAGAGACCAAATTTAAGAGTCATTGGGATACAGGAAGGGACAGAGTTACAAACCAAAGGAATGAGCAATCTATTCAATGAAATAATACGAGAAAACTTCCCAGACTTGAAGAATGAGACAGAATCCCAAATCCTACAAGCCTACAGGACGCCGAATGTGCAAAATCATAAGAGACCCATACCTAGACACATTATAATGAAGATGCCCAACATACAGAATAAGGAGAGAATTTTAAAAGCTACAAGAGAAAGGAAGCAGATTACATTTAGGGGTAAGCCAATCAGGATAACAGCTGATCTTTCAACACAGACTCTGAAAGCTAGAAGATC